TTTTTTTTTTTTTTTTTTTTTTTTTTTTTTTTTTTTTTTTTGTGGTGGCCGGCCAGAGGAATCATTGTTTAGAGTAAGTTTGTTGATATCAGTGCAGAGAATTTTTAATGCAACCCTCAAGCTTATTTTAGTGAAATTGAGGCCCATCATACAGACAGGCAGTTGAATTTCTGTGTAACTCAGTTATAATGGAGCTCACAGCTTAAAACGTAAGCAGTGCAAGTGAGAGCTCTCAATCCAGGAAATGAAAATAGGACAGACACACCCCAAGCAAGATGCAGCAGCTGGACCTGAGAGAAGAGAGCACAGATGCCCGTGAATGTTGACAGTTGGACTGGTCAGTGGGTGGTCCTCAAGTGAAGAGACTAGTTTGGGGTGGGTGGGGAAAGGAAAGCTGCATCTGAGCTGTGGTGCCTGTTTGTAAGGTCTTAAATTTCAGGACTCCATGCTCTTGGGCTGAATTTAGAAGAGGAACTAGTTACAGTCATTCTTTGTTTTCAGTTGGCACTTATCATTTCTCTTCCACTAACCATGGACCCAGATTGTCTCTTCCTACATCAAAGGACTTTTCTGTTTTTTTTTAATTAAAAAAAAAAATCCTGCTCCTTCAGGATGGTGCTAGGTCACTCTGGTAGTTGTTGGGTATTTTCTACAGTGGAACCCTGAAGCAGCTGATAAATAAATGGCCCTGATGAAAGGGTTCTGAGTCACAACTCCATCTAATTCACTTTCAAAGGAAGTAAAATGGTTTTGTTCCAGAAGACGGATTTGGCATGTCTGCCAGAGAAGTACTGGAGAACTTTATGTATATTGACTGATGTTTCTTCTAGAAGCTTTTGTGTCCTCCCACCACTGTCCTGTCACCTTTAAAATAATATGTTGCACCCAAAGCATTTTCAACCTTATTTACCTAGTTATGATAAATGAGTCATTTGTATTATCCCAGAACTTGATAGCTTTATGACTTCAACAAAATAGCAAACTGGTATTCAATTTAATCAAGCTAATTTAAAGTTAGGAGACATTAATACATTCATTTTAACAGTGTTAACAGCATCTCATTTGGGGTGACGTTTTCTGCTTGATATTCTTTTATGTGGTCTCCTGCCATATGAAGTGACAGTGCGTAGGGGCTGAGCTTTTCCAGGAGACTGCGGTGATTATAGGGCAGAGCTTTCTGATGTCTGCTGTGCACATTCATCAGCTTCTGCGTGTGTCCGTGAGCTGTAGACCTCCTGTGGAACGGGAAGGAAGGCGTCACCTCTGGGTTTGAGCACCGTCTACTTATTCTGATGGGTTTGCTCATTTCTTCTATGTTATATATTTTGAAAATTAAGTGCATGTTTTGAGGAAATTGGCAAATGCCTTAACCTCATAATATCTGTTACCAAGCTGAGAGTCTGGTAGATTCTTCATTGCCCACCTTCTTGTACCTAAAGTTGAACCTCAGTTAAGAGGGAATGGCGAGATTTTTCAAGTATCATTGAAAAGGGTAAGATTCAGGTTGTATGGACTATTTGCAGCACTGTTTAGTGAGTAGAAGGCAGGCGACACTCAATGTTACAAGGATTGAAATAATATGTGCGGGACCATATACTGAAATCTCTTAGAAGTATTTGCATGTTAAGATCCATGTAAACACAAATAGATTGCCATTTGGTAGGAAAGCTGTTTTGGTGCATGCGGGCAGAGTGAGGACTGGCCAGTGAAGGAAGGATGATACCCAGCCTCTTAGGGGGGGTTAGGGTGCAGAAATGGTTCCTGGGGTTGCCAGTCTTCACTGTCATTGAGCCAGCTACAAAGAACTGCAGTTGTCTGTTAACTGTGTAATGCAGTGAAAAATTTTTGTCAAAGATTATAAAAGTAAATTATCTAAGTTTGGAGATTATTTCACTACACAGAGATTTTCTTGTAAAGGTATTGTTCAAGTGGATTTGATTCAGAATGCTGTATATTATATAAAAATATACAACACAGACCCCTTTTCTTTCTTAAAAAACAATATGAAGACTTTAAAAAGTATGTCTTAGATAATCTAGAAGTTGGGTAATGGGTTCTACTTTTTTTTTCTTTTGAAATAGTTTCTGAGAACACTGTGTTTAATTTCCCCGGAAACCAGCAAACACAATTACCACCAAATTGTCTTGAAACTCTAACTGGTAATTTCCCTGGACTTACTGGCATTTACTTTTGACAGGTTGGTCCACAGCTCTAGCAGATGTTCTTTGTTCACCTTAGAGAAGTCTTCCCCTGCCACTCCCCCCACCCTATCCCCACCCTCCAAAAAAAAAAAAAACACCAAACTCTTCCCTTCAGTATCTTGAATTGTGCTTCTCACCCAGATGTTAGACACATTGTGTGTGTGTGCCACAAGTGTATAATTAATTTAATTGTAGAGATGTTAGCAGTAGATTTATTGCAGCATGAAATTATTGCTTTACCTCTGATTTTTCTTGGCCCTGAGTAGTGTTTGGGATTTTGAAAGCATTTATTGTTAAATACTGAAGTGAGTCTGACTCTTGCACTGGTAATGTCTGAGAATCTACCATAGGTGTGCTTGAGGAGGCAGGATGGTCCAAGTCACCTGCTCTGGCACATGTCTAAGCAGCTGTAGCGCGACTGCTCCCAAGTCAAGCTTTGAAAATGCCTTAGAAAGCAGACATGGCTGGCAGCTGGTGGCTTGTGGCCCTCCTGCAGCTTTCAGCTTGACTTAATCATTTTGAAATAGAAAATCAGCCAAGAGCCATTGAGTTGCTGAGGCAGCTATCACGTACTTTGGAGCTGCAGCTCCAGAAACTGGAAATCTGGGAAGAGGCATCTGTGTTAAACTAGGGCATTTTTGCAATTCTTTATTTGGAATGCCTTTTACAGTCACATATTTTTAATCCTTTCAGTTGTCACAAAATTATAAACTGATGTTACGTTCTAAAGGGTGTCAGGGGTCTAAGAGGGGAAATGGGAAACCCTTCTGAAGCTGTACGCACCTTTGTATTCTCTAGCGCTGAAGCAGCATGTCAGGCATTCACGACTGTGCCGGCTCTGAAATGAGTTGTGGGTTATAGCCATGGCTGCTCCTTCCACCTGGGCCATGATGGGTGTGTTCACCATGAGGCATGCCAAGGAAAGAGGTCCATGTCCCAGGTCTCAGGCAGGAGCCTAGAAGTATGTTCAAAGCTGTGTTACTGTCGGGAGCCTGAGAGCCTGTTGGACCTCCAGGAAGCTTCGCATACCCTGGTTAAGAAGGACCCAGAGAGAACCTAGAGGCTGCCATTGGATTTCCATACATTAGCTCCATTTGGAAGTCCTGCCTCAAGAATTAGCTGAATCTTTCTAATGAGAAAGATTTGAGTGGCAGACGGCTATGTGTGTAGAGTATGAGAGTACTTCAAAAAGTTCATGGAAAGATTTGTATTATCTTATAATACTCTTCTCCCATGGGCATTTTTTTTTTTCCTTTTTTTTTTTGTCTTTTTTCGTGACCAGTAATGGGATCGCAACCCTCTGTGTCACACCCGCACCGTGCTCAACCAGTGAGCGGACCGGTCTCTATATGGGATCTGAACCCTCGGCGGGAGCGCTGCCGCACTCCCAAGCGCTGCACTCTACCGAGTGCGCCACCGGGCCGGCCCCCATGGGCTTTTTGAAGTACCCTCGTATTCACTTATAAGTGTACGTGGTGTGTAACAGACTATGGATATGCACCAAAAGGATTCAGAACACAGGTGTGTGCAATTGTGAAGTCAGTGTTTCAGGTGTTTCTCCGCTGGCTGGGAAGGCGAATAGGTAGGGCTCGTGTCTGATTGCCCTTTGGAAGATGCAGCAGGGTGGGGGAGGGGCAGGGTGGGGACATGCCATCACAGAGCCTGCCAGAGCTACCCAGGTGCTTGTTGAATGAAAGAATGAGACGGGTGGTGAGGACAGTGGGGAAGAGATGAACTGAAACCTTCAGAGGGGAATAAGAAGGGCTCAGGTGGGACAGATGGCACAGTCGTCAGCTGGACATGGGGTCAGAGCCTGTGGGGTAGCCAGAGGGTTTTCAGAAGACAGATGGCCCAGCGTGACTTCTGTCCCTTACAGCTAAGTCCCACCAATCATTTCTCCAGTCCTTGGAAGCCTTAGCCCTTTTCGTAATTCAACTTGTATATATGTTTTAATAGGCTTTTAATGCTTTTTAACAGGTACATATATGCTATGAATCTTAGTGATTTGGTCAGAGGTACACATGAATACTTATTTTTAGAATTAAAAAAATACCTAATTTACCTATGTAATATAGTATAATATATAATACATTTAAATATATCTTTATACTTTACTGCTGAGAGCTGACTTGTAGTGCTGTGGAATTGTATATGCAGAGTCTGGTCATTTAATTAACAAGGTTGGGATTCCAAACAGCAGAAAGCTCCCCAGAGTTACAGAGGAGAATCTAGTACCATGCCGTGTGTTCGCAGTAAGTACTGAAGCTTTGCTCTGTAACACTTGTCAAGTTTCTTCATAAAATAATTTATGGTAAAGTCTGTCTCTTTCCAGGAATGATGGAGAATTCTGGCAACCATATCAACATAACTTTGATTTAAGAATAAGGAGCACTTAGTTTTTTTTTGTTTGTTTTACCATTTTTCAATAATGATATTGCCGGAAAACAAACAAAACCAAAATCACCTTAAGGAAATTTTGTTGAAAGCCTGAACTGAATTGCATAATAATTTACAACTTATAGTAGTTTAGGTATGACATTAAACTCAACTGTGAGACTAAACTTCAGTTTAATATTACAGCGACAAGCTCAACCAAATTGGAAGATCTGAGTTATTTAGATGGGCAGAGAAATGCTCCTCTACGAACGTCAATTAGATTACCGTGGCACAATACGGCTGGAGGTAGGGCACAGGAAGTTAAAGGTATTTATCTTTGCATCCTCTGTGGCAACAGATATGATGAACTTGTTCACTAAATATCGAAAGTCTGTAATAACCAGCATTTAAGCCAGCTGTTTATAAAACATAATGTTAGGCGTATATGTGCTTAAAAAAAAGTATCTCTTAGGTGTGCTAGGAAGCCATCTTTAACAGTTTTGGGCTTCTTCCTTAAAATACGGGATTAACTTGCTTCTGAAGTTGGAAAATAATTCTGCAAGAATTTATTTTGAAGTGAGGGGAAGTTTAACGCTCACTAGATTTTGTGCTACTAACAAAGAATCGGCTTTGTTTTGGTTCCTTGAGCTGTATCAGCACATTCTGCGTCTGCCTGTAACACAGTCATTTGGTCAGAAGCCCCACCATATGGGCAGAGCACCCTAATACCCCGATGAAAGCTGTGCCCCTGTCTCTAGGGAAAACTCATTTCCATATTATTTATATAGTAGTGGAAGAAACATGTCTTAAATATCCGAGACCATAAACTGATGAGATGTGATTTGTCCCCTTGCATCACTTTCTCTAATCCTGTGTGTCTATCTTGAGTTATGAGAATAAGTCAGAGGCAGGAAAGGATGAGAAAGTCACTTTAATAGGACACTTTGTAGGACCAATAAGGTATGATAAATGAGGTGTTATAGAAGTATCAATAGAACTATATTAGAAATATTTACAGATCCCTTGTGGGGTAAAACTGAAGGCTATTATACTGAGTGTAACACAAGCAGTGATACTTTGAATTTCTTAGTGTATAAAATTATGACATTCTTCTAAAATAATTCTTTTTTTTTTTAAAGCACGATTTGCTCCCTATAAGCCGCAAGACATTTTGTTGAAACCCCTATTATTTGAAGTACCAAGCATAACAACAGACTCTGTGTTTGTGGGAAGGGACTGGCTCTTTCACCAGATAGAAGAACACTTGAGGAACACAGAACTGGCAGAAAATCGAGGAGCGGTTGTTGTTGGAAGTGTGGGATTTGGGAAGACGGCAATCATTTCCAAGTTGGTGGCACTTAGCTGCCACGGAAGCCGTATGAGGCAGATTGCTTCCAACAGTCCTGGCCCATCACCCAGAAGTATGTCCGTGTGTAATTGTCTAGTTCGTTATACTGATAAAATAGGTGAAGGAAGTTGCTGTTTGGATAGACATAAATTACCAATTTTCCTCACGTTGTTCCAGCTGCTATATCAGGTTTGGGATAACATGTTAAGTGAGCTATTTAAACACTTGCATCTACCATAGTGCGTATCTAGCTATGTGGGGTGAGGCCAGCCCTCCCTCATGTCCTCCTGAACTGTAACGCCTGTCTGCCTCTTTATGCAGGCAGAAACAGGGCAGTGAGGCCTCAGTGAGTGCCCTGGGGAATTTTGGGCCCTAAAATGAAGGTGTTGGACTCCTGGCAGAACAAACCAGATGGAGTCTAATGCAGAATTCTTTTGTACCCTGTTCACCCCAGCTTTTGTCTTCTATGCTGGATTTACCAAAAGTATAGACTAAGTCAGACATGGGCTAGAGGGAATAACCAAGTATTTTTTTTTGACTATTCACTGATTATATGCAATAGAACCATTAAGAAGAAAGTGTCTCTGAATGTGGTGAATAAGAACAAGTGAGCCATGCAAGCTTTTTTTTAACCCCCCAAAAAATTAATAAAGGAAACTAGAAACAGAAGTTCTTCAGGGAGGGGAACTGGGCAGATGGGAGACAGAGGTGGGGGATTTGTGTTCTCATTCGGACTTCTGAATTTTGGTCCATGTTCATTCGTTACCTATAGGTACTAATCAAGAAATAGATTCGACAACCCACTGTTGCTGTGCCGATGTAAATAATGAAATGTGTCTTTTCTCTGCAGCTTCAGATCCAGCCCAGGACCTTCCTTTCACCCCTTTGCTTTCACCGAGTTCTACAAGTGGCCCCAATGCGGCTAAAATGCCTGCTGGGGCTGGGTCTGGTACTCCTGAAAACCCGAGACCAAGAGAGGATGCGGCGAAATACCTTGCTTCTAAGGTAATCTGCTCTTGCTTTATGGGAGCCTTCCAGATAGAGATTTGCTAGTTTGGTTTCTGAAAAGTGCATTGGAAAAGGAATTTTGAAACAGAGACAATCGCTTACTTCTGAAGTATAGCTTTTGATAAAATTGTGATAGAGTGCTCCGCATAAAAGGCATGAGTGGAACTCAATATCCATCTTAAGACAATGACAGTGGACCTTTATCCACGTTAAATAATGGATTGGAAGAGTTCACAAGCAGCAGCAGATGCCATGTGCGTTCTCCCCAAATCTGTCCTTATAAGCACGCACTCTCTTTAATTGTTATGTGAGCAGGAGACAGTGAGCTTTTAACCCGACCCAGACCACTCCTCCCTGTGCTCTGTTGCCTGGGGCCTTTGGTTCCCTGTATCTTTTGGTCACAGGGTTCTTGCAAGGTCATAAAGGAGAGTTGGCTGCCTTTCCCTTCCTAAATTCATGGTCATTGAGCTTCTTCTGAATTTTTCCTTCTGCTCAGCATCCATCACTGGTCATAAGCCAGAAAGTGGCTGAAAGTGGCTGAAAGTGCACCATATCTCTCCCCCTGGTGAGCTGCTTACATCTCTCTTGGCAGCAGTGGTGTGAGTTGGTGGAGCTAGAGAAATGCCAGAGATAGGCAGTGATGAAAGGCACCTTGTGAGGAAACCCCCGGGGGTGAAGTTGGTGCAGGGGAACTGAAATGCAGACTGCTGTGCCCCAGACCCCTGCCCCTCTCTTCTGCTTCCCAGATGACAGCTGCTCTTGGCATGGTCAGCCCCGATGCTCTGACCACTGACTCAGAACAGTCCTCTGGTCATGAACAGGTGATCTCAGATGAGGGATGTAGGGCAGACTTCAAAGCTGTGGTGATTTTTCAAGACCCTTTGACTGTGACCCACAGTAGAAATACGTCTTATGCTAGAGATCTAGCACCCATGCCCATGTAATCGCACCTGTAACCAAACCGAAAGCATTATAGAACTATGCCTAGTCTTACATCCTGTGATACACACTGGTAATTTAAATTCACTTTATTTAAAACAAACAGAAACCTCTTTGTGGCTCCAAATTGACTTCATGCCCACTATTGGGTTGCCAATCTGCTTATGTCAAACACTATGGGAGACCGTGGTACTGGATGTCTCCTGGTGGTTTGCACAAGCTCACAAGTCCTCACGTATGTTCCTGCTAATCTCTGTCCAGGTGAGAGTTGAAGAGCAGTCAGCTTTTCTCTGAGTGTTGATGATAAATTTAATCGCAACCAGAAGTCACATTGTGGTTCCAAGCTGGACTGAGAAAAGCTGCTGCACATCTGCTCTTGCCACTTGCTTTTTAAGAGTCTACAGACTGGGAATCTCATCCCAGGTCTTTGGTTGGCTCTCCCTGTCATCGTGGCAAGGCATTTAACCTCTGGGTCTGTTGCCCTCAGCTATGAGCCATGGCTGCTGGTTCCTGACCTGCTTACCGTGGGGGTTGCAGAGCTGCATGGGCTGGCAGTGACTCTGAGTACTTTACACAAGTGTGTTTTGCCCTTTTTTGCTTCCCTTACCTCATACTTACTGAAATGTAGTAAAGATGACACTTTTTGATGTCAAGAATATTGGGATTGTTTGGAATTGCTTTAAGCCAGGAAGGCTTTAGGTTTTATGAATGACTTTTATTAATTTACATTCAACAGAGAGTAACTTGTGCTGATTTTTGTATCTTTGGATGCAATTGAAGGTGTGCTGAGAACTTGGCAAACTGCACGAATGAAGGAAGGAGTGAATGAGTCACGCTAATGACTTAGTCTTCGGGAGCAGAAGCAATATATCTTGTTATGTTGGGGAGCTGGCAGAGTTGAGTTCCTGTTTGAGGTGGTAGGATGAGCTGTGTGAAGAGGGCAAGGGGATGTTGACGGCTCTGCTTTCCCGCAGGTGGTGGCCTACCACTACTGCCAGGCCGATAATACCTACACGTGCCTGGTGCCCGAGTTCGTGCACAGCATCGCGGCTCTGCTCTGCCGGTCCCATCAGCTGGCCGCCTACAGAGACCTTCTCATCAAGGAGCCACAGCTGCAGAGCATGCTGAGCCTCAGGTCCTGTGTGCAGGACCCAGTGGCAGCTTTCAAGAGGGGAGTGCTGGAGCCACTCACCAACCTGAGAAACGGTATCTACAGGCAGCCCCCCATCTTCCGGGGGTCCCTCCCTACCCTCAGTGGTATAGTTGTAAATGAAACATCTCTAATAAGAATGAACTCTACAGTTGAAAAGTTCCAAAGTAGACGATTTGTAACTGTAGGCTATTTAGGAGACTTTTGCACCCTAGAAAACTGTTGCCTGTATATTTTACACTCCTAGGAAGCAAGGGGATGAGTGGATTGTTTGGGAAATTTTCCAGCATGTGTTTTTTTTTTCAGGACCCCTGCTCAGTTGAGTTGAAACCTAAAGCTATTTCTAGAGGTTTCCATTTGATTTTTTTTTTTGCCCCTGAGTATTCTGCAAAATAGGGGATGTAAATGACATTATGTGCTCTTCAGTTTTCCATCCTTCCTCCCCTTTGCACCTTAACTTTTGAGCCAGTTTACCTGCCTACTTCTGCCAGAAGGTGCTAGAGAGAGGGATTGAAACAGATATGTTATCATTTCTCCGCTGTTCCCTGGGCAGAATGTTGGCACTAGTAAATAGAAAACTAGATTTAAGCTCATGGGAAAGAGCCCTGTTCTAGGAGTCTCACTGCGGTGTGGCTTGGGCCAAACAGCCTGGGGACCGTGGCGGGGGGAACACTTTTCCTTACCTGTTCACTCAGGAGTTCTGATGGAGGACCTAGCATCTTTTCCAGATTTGGTATCTGTGTGTGTTAGTTATATTTGCTGTAGCCCACCCCAGTGACAATGGTTTATGAAGAACTAACTGCATTATATACATGGGTAAGATTCTGCTAATGTATGTAACGCAGTATGTTTCTGAAAACTGTTTTGTGAGAATTGGTTTTCTTTTGGCTCTATACTACAGTTTTCATTATAAATTTAATAGAAATTATGCTCCTGTGAAAACCATTTCTTCTGCCATATGTAAACCTTTTTAGGTTTTCGTAACACTTTAAACTGTGCATTAAAATATGCTGGGTGGTGCCATCTTATAGAAGTGTATAATTTCTTAATTTGAAAAAATTATTTTATCCTTTAGAGCAGAAAATTCCTGAAGAAGAATACATTATTTTGATAGATGGCTTAAATGAAGCTGAGTTTCATAAACCCGATTATGGAGATACGCTTTCTTCATTTATTACCAAAATTATTTCTAAATTTCCTGCCTGGTTGAAGTTGATTGTGACTGTAAGAGCAAATTTTCAGGTAACAAAAGAATTCTCAAATCTCTTTCCAAGTCCCCACACTCCAATCATACAGTGATAAATATGAATAACTCAAACTGTTGTAAACCATTTAGTTGCTGAATTGAAAACTATGTTAGGATTTTGAAAAATTAGTCCACAGAGCCCCAAATGGTTTGTGAAACCCTGACCATGTTAGCTCCCAAGGAATATTTATTAAGATGTCAGGTAAGTTTCCTATTAGCATTGAACTGTGCCTGCCCTTCGTGAATGGTGGTGTCTAGCCTCAGTTTACCACAATTAAGTGTGTGGGGCCATATGACGTGTAAGGCCAACAGGTCTTCTAGCATTTAAAGCTATTCTTGAAGGGAAAAACGAGGGTTGAGAGAGAGATTTTTAAGGCCCATTCTGAAAGGTCTGTTTTCGCCTAACACTTAAACACGAGGTAACATCTGCAGCAAGGTGAAGAGTCATTTTTTTTCTCCATCTTCCCCCTCATTTGAATCCTAAAATTATATCTCAACCGTCAGCTTCCTCTACACTTACTCTCTTTCATTAAAGACATTTAGACACTAGATTTTTAGGTTTTGCCCTTTTATGATGATATTTATTTTAAAATAGCATTTGGGCTATTTTTCTTCATTAAAACTGGAATCAGACCTCAGTCGAAGTTGATGTTTGTTTTTGTGGATGCTTGATTCATCTGCCTTTCAGCCATTTTTTTACACGCGAAGCATAATTCGGCCATCAGCAGAGAGCACTGGGACAGGAGTTTTGTGCTGCACCTCCTGGCTGTCAGTTTTCAGAGGTTCAGTCAGCATCTATGTAAGATGGGAATAATTGTACTCTGCCCTCTTCCTACAGTTACACCAAATGAGGACTTGTACTTAAATACTTCAGAAATTATAGTGAGAAGTTAAGGAACCAACCAGCCAAACTGCTCTCTGCTGTTAGGTATCAGGATATGCTTTTCTTTGGAATAGGGGACAGACAGGAAGGGGACATGGGGCTTCTGGGAGCTGGTGATGTTCCATTTCTGGCTTCCAGTTACAGGTATATTTGACATGAAAATTAATGACACCATACAATTATGATTGTGCACTTCTGTATGTATGCTATACTTCAGTTTAAAAGTTTCCTTAAAAAAATTTTTTAAGCAATAAGTACTGGAGTAGGCAGCTTTGTTATGGCACGCTGTCATCGGGACACAGCCTGGGGGCATCTCACATTTCCTGCTTGGGTTACACAGCCCTGTTATCTGACACACGAATAGGGATGCCTCTTATCTCAGTCTCTGGCTGGGTTCTTAGATGTGCAGTGTTGGTTTGTGTTTGTCCTTGTTATACAACCAGTTGCACAATGTAAGGATTATGGGTATTAGGTCACCTGCAGGGTCCCACTGTCGCTTTCCTGGTACCGGCCTCATTGCCACTGTCTCCTTGGGGCTCTTACTTCTCGGTTGGCTCAGAGTCCTCAAATGAGGGCCTCGGGAAAGCCTGTACTGATTCCATCTCCCATCAGGATTTCTTTCACATAAGCTTTTTATCTTCACCTTATCCTATTACATGTTTTAATACAAAACAATAAGGCCCTATAATCCATGAAAATCCTCCTTGAAAGAAAACGAGTGAATCTGGTTTGAAATGCTGCTGAAATAAAAAAGGAATCTCTGGAGTGACACTGGGGGTTTTTTCTTTCCCCACAGGAAATTATAAGCGCTCTGCCATTTGTCAAGCTTTCCTTAGATGACTTTCCAGACAACAAAGACATTCACAGCGACCTGCACTCCTATGTCCAGCACAGGGTCCACAGCAGCCAGGACATCCTCGGCAACATCTCCCTGAATGGCAAGGCCGACGCTGCCCTCATTGGGAAAGTGAGCAGCCACCTGGTGCTGCGGAGTCTCGGCTCCTACCTGTACCTCAAGCTCACCCTGGACCTCTTCCAGAGGGGACACTTGGTCATCAAAAGCGCCAGCTATAAGGTGGTGCCCGTGTCTCTGTCTGAGCTCTACCTGCTGCAGTGCAACATGAAGTTCATGACCCAGTCCGCCTTTGAGAGAGCACTTCCAATCCTAAACGTGGCCCTCGCCTCCCTCCACCCCATGACGGACGAGCAGATTTTTCAGGCGATTAATGCCGGCCACATCCAAGGGGAGCAGGGATGGGAAGACTTCCAGCAGAGGATGGAGGCCCTCTCCTGCTTCCTCATTAAGAGGCGAGACAAAACCCGCATGTTCTGCCACCCATCCTTCAGGGAGTGGCTCGTCTGGAGAGCAGATGGTGAGAACACAGCCTTCCTGTGTGAGCCCAGGTATGACAGGCCGCTGCTGTCAGTTCTGTGCAGGGAATCTTGTGTGCAAGTGGGGAAAGGATTGCAAACGTGACTCATGTTTTTTAATGGAGTGGCAACCCAGATTGAATAATTCAGTTTTGCTGCTTTATTTCCTTATTTTCCCCCCTTTTTGTTAGAAGGAAGAGCAGTGAAAAATTCTTTCTACTTCTGTAGAAAAGTTTCCTTCCTTTAATTGCTAGAATTTTAGGGCTTCTGGTGTTTCTGGCTGAAAGAGAAGCTGGGCAGTGCCTGAGAGATATTTCTCTACTTTCTGTTCTCACAGATCCCTGTCCCCTCCACCACCTGGCTTCTACAGGGGTCCCACGTAGGGACATGGGATAGCCACTCCAGGGAACCATGGCCTTCTCTGCAGGGTGTTCCCCTGTGGGTTGGTGGACTGTCTGGGATCCTCAACACCGCCACTCCTCTGCCACCTTGTGAACTTGTAGTGACTTGTCTAGGGATCAAACATGTCTGTGGGCCAAGAGGGGGAGCACCGTGATCAGATCTGGCCACCTTGTTTTGTATTTGTGGTACAGCTCAGTGTCACAGACAGGGAGGGCCAGGCCAGGGTGCACTTCTTATTGCGCAGGCTGCTGGTACCACAGTATGGGGTGGGGAGGCCTATGTGTCAGGAGGCCTGATAACAGGGTGAGAGGTGGAAGAACTTGGGGGTTCGGATGCTTTCAGATATGGGTATGCTCAAGCTCTGCCTAGCCCTGGCCTCAGCCTGCATCTTTGCTGCCTTGAATGGCTTCTGCTCTTTGAGTCAGAATTGCCCTCTACTTCAGTACCGGGATTGGCAAGCTGCTAAACTGTCCCCAGAGGACGGTAGTGGGCACTTGGCCACACACTGGAGTCCAGAAATGAAGAGGTTAATAAGCAGTCATAAGCCTCCCACCACCTTCCTCCCCATTAATGTTGACTTAACTTTGACCTCATAGGTCTAGCTGTGTTGTGGCTGGTGGTGCTTTCTTAGGTGACACTGAGCTAAAGGTTTATTGTTATCTTTTGAACCTGCTTTGGGGCAATAAACTGTAACATCTGGGTTATTTGGCCAGATCTTAGTAGCTAGGTACAATGTGTGATGTGGCATATCTAGCTAAGTCAGATGATTTCCTAGGAAAAGTTAGATCATTTTCTAGGAAGATAGATTGGAGTTGAATTTGTAGAGATATAAAAACAAGTCAAAAGACTTCCGCAGGGGATGTAGGTTTGTTCCTGGGTTTGAGGATGAAGTAGGTGGACTGTAGACATCATTAAGCTTTGCTTCATTTTGGGCAGAGCTGAGAGTGGGGTGACTGATGGGTCAGCACCAGCAGGTGCAGGCTCTTGAGTGCTGCTGTGTTCTTACAAGCAGATGTGGGGATGTCCCCTGGGGTTGGGCCTGGGCCAAGCGGGGACAGAAGAGGCACCAGTGGTACAAGATATAAGAAGGCGCTCAATCATGGGGTGGTGCAAGTCGGCAATTTTCCAAGACCCCTGTAGTACTGAGCTTCGTTCAACAGACAGAATATGTAGAATGATGTTGGAAGGAAGCTACTAGACTCAATTCAGCAAGTTTTTAAGAACCTACTTAATGTGCAGAAAACTGGTAGATAGAGACATTCCTGGGACAAAGACCCTGCTCTTGAGGGTTTCCCACTCAGGAGGGTGAGGCAGGAAGTACCTGCTGGGAGGAAGCCACCCTGCGTGTGGGACTTCAGGAAAGGGGGGGAGGGGTGTTTCTGGAAAATGTTTCACATACATGGTGACTTGAAAGTTGGTAGCATTTCTTCCACCATCCCAAATAGTTGTATTTTTGCCCCCATATAGAGAAAAGAGAAAATTTTAACACTCAGAGACAATGACACTTCACTTTTCATTTCTGCCTCTTTCTATAGCATTTTAAACATTATACAACTCGTCTTCTCTCTCAGAATTCTTGTCTGGTTTTTTTTGTTTGTTTTATGGTTTTTTGCTTAACACATCACAGGAACCCTAGCAAGCTGTTAGAAATCTTAGAAAAATCTCATTTTCTTTGTTCAAGGCTGTGCAAACCTACTAGTGGGTAAATTAAAATGTACCTTACCATACTCTTATTCTTGGACTTTTAAGTTGTTTCTAGGTTACTTGCAAACATAGAAATTTATAGTGAATATCTTGGTGCCTTACAGATCAGGATTCAAATTCTGACTCCACCAATTCTTGTGTATTTCCTGTGTGCACATTATTTTAATCTCCAAGCCTTACTTCCTTATCTATAAAGAGTTGGAGTATATTCTCAGTGAGTGATGGTGGCTGTTAGATCAGTTCTTCAGAAGGTCTGCTATCTTCCTTCTGTCCCTTCTTCCTTCCTATTTTTGATTATTGCTCACCACTCCATGGGGTGGTGCTGGAGCTCCAAGAGAGCAGTTCAGAGATTAGGCAGCAGTGTGCACCCCAGGGCCTGTGGTATGGAGTGACGGGGTCTTTTGCTCTGAGCCTTTGTGTTTCTTGTCCTAGGAATGGACACGCGCTCCTGGCATTCATGTTCTCTCGACAGGAGGGCAAGCTGAACCGCCAGCAGACCATGGAGCTGGGCCATCACATCCTGAAGGCACACATTTTCAAGGTGAGGCACACATACCCACCTGAGGAAGGGCTTCTCTGTCGTTTTGAGTTTTGGTTCTGGAGATTTTTGACATCTTTGCCAGCCATCTCAGAAGCCCTCCACGGGCCCACCCCAAACACAACCTCCTCACCTCCCTAAAAGTAAACACTTAAGTTTATTTTCATCTAAAGGTTCCACTTCATTTATTCCCTTTTGTTTCCTCGTTGTTTATTTGTTGAAGAACCTGGGTTCCTTAAACTTTATAGTTTCACACCGCCTGGCTCTTCTGATTGTGGCCTTGTTTCTGGCAGCGTGGTTTAACATGTTCCTCTTTCCCTGGATTTCCTGTCATTGGTAGTTGTGCCTAGAGGCTTTATGAGGTTCGGGTTTGATCCCCCTGCAGCGTTTCAGATTACTCTGCAGCAGTGAGAGTTTCTCAAGAAAGTCTGCTGTGCATAAGGAAGCACAGCGTTTGTACTTGCTCCTCATTTTATGGTGCCTTCGGCCAGTCCTGGTCACTTCCCAGACACATTCACATGTTAGGGGTTGCAGACAGGGATATCCTGATTCTATCACTTTTTCTTCCTCTAATTTATAGCCATTAAGAAACTTTCTCCTCATCTGCCATCTCCCTCCCTAGGCATACAGTTCATGCAGCAAAGGCTGGCTGATTCCTCGACCTTGGTTTTAGGTAGGAAAGGCTCGTGGACCCAGGCGTTCTTTGTGCGAGTTGCCATGAGTTCAGCACATCTATCTGCACCCTCTTGGGCAGACCTGCTTTCAAACTGAGCTGCAGGTGAAAAGGAGACACCCAGGTGGATCTTTCTCTGATTGTTTCCAGGGCCTCAGTAAGAAGACAGGGATCTCTTCAAGCCATCTGCAAGCCCTGTGGATTGGTTACAGCACCGAGGGCCTGTCTGCCGCCCTCGCCTCTCTCAGGAACCTCTATACTCCCAACGTGAAGGTGAGCAACACTCTGCGCAGAGAGCCTGAGCCCCAGCCCTGCTTCCCCCGCAGTGGGTGTGTCAAGAGGACGCAGAGGAGCTTGTACTGATGCTTTTATACAGGCTCCCTCCAGCAGGAAGATGTGGGAAGCAGGGGCTGCTGTGTGAGCACATGGGGTGTTTTCAGAGTGAATGTGATAAGGAAAAAATTCACAGAGGAAACCAAAGGTCAGAGAGAGATTTACAGAAAAAATGGATTTTTAAAAAATTCTTTTTACTTTTTTAACATTTACTTGTGCATACTTGTGGGGTACAATGTGTTATTTCAATACATACATATGCTACACAGTGATTCACTTAGGGTAGATAACATAGTTTTGCACCCATTAGTCCACCACTTCTCCTCCCTTCCACTCCTCCTCCTGCTCCCAGCCTCTGGTAATAATGGGCCAATATCCAGAATAAATAAATAAATAAATTTGTTTTTGACAGCAAAAAAACAAATACCCAATTAAAAACTAGGCCAAGTACCTGAACAGACATTTCTCGAAAGAAAGCATGCAAATGGCCAATGAGCACATGAAAAAGTACTCTCTGGTAACCATTATTCTACTCCCTACTTCTGTGGAAATCACTTTTTTTTAAAGATTCCACACATGAGTGAGATCATGCAGTGTTTGTCTTTCTGTGCCTGGCTTACTTTACTTAACATAGTGGTTTCCAGTTCCAACCATATAACTGCAAATGATAGGATTTCATTTTTTTTAAGTAGCTGAATAGTATTCCATTATGTATATATACCACAGGGTTTTTTTACCCTTTCATCCATTGATGGACATTTAGGTTGATTCCATCTCTTGGCTACTGTGAATAGTGTTGCAATGAACATGAGAGTGTGGGTGTCTTTTTAATATATTGATTTCATTTCCCTTGGATGAATGCCCAGTAGTGGGATAGCTGGGTAGTAATGTAGATCTACTTTTAGTTCTCTGAGGAACCTCCATACTGTTTTCCACAATGGCTGCACCAATTACTTTCCAACCAACAATGTAGGAGGGTTCTCTTCTCTTTTGTTATTTACTGTCTTGTTGATAACAGCCATTCTAACTGGGGTGAGATGACATCTCATTGTGGTTTTGCATTTCTCTAATGATCAGTGATTTTGAGCATTTTTTCATGTGCTCGGCCATTTGTATGCTTTCTTTCGAGAAATTTGGGCCATTTTATTTTAGGCCTTTAGTCCATTTTGAGTTGATTTTTGTGTATGTTGAGAGATAGGGGTCTAATTTAAATCTTCTGCATGTGGATATCCAGTTTTCCCAGCACCATTTTCTGAAGAGGCTGTCCTTTCCCTGGTGTATATTACTGGCACTTTTGTCAAAAATCAGTTGTTTGTAAGTTTATGGGTTTATTTCTGGGCTCTCTATTCTGTTCCTCCAAAGAGGAACCCCTCAAGACACATCATAGTCAAATTACTAAAAACCAGAGACAAAGAAATGTACCTAAAGCAGCAAGAGGAAAGAAACACGTAACATTCAGTGGAGTCCCAATACATCTCTTACAACATCGGAGTATTCTGAGGTTGTCTATGTACTTACTTCACTAATGAGTTTTATACCTTTAGATGTTTTCTTGCTTCTCTTTAGTGTCATCTTCTTTCAGACTGAAGAACTCCCTCTAGCATTTTTTTGTAAGGCAGGCCCGGTATTGATGAATTCCCTTAGATTTTGCTTATCTGAGAGAGACTATTTCTCCTTCATATTTAAAGGTTAGTTTTGCTGGATACAGAAATCTTGGTTGACTGTCTCTTTCCTTCAGCACTCTAAATGTATCATCCCATTCTCTAATTGTATACGGAGTTTCTACTGAGGAATCTGCTGAGAGACGTATTGGGACTCCATTGAATGTTACGTGTTTCTTTCCTCTTGCTGCTTTAGCTACATTTCTTTGTCTCTGGTTTGTAGTAATTTGACTATGATGTGTCTTGAGGGGTTCCTCTTTGGATTGAATTTGATTGGTGACCTCTGAGCTTCCTGTACCTGGATGCTCTCGCCTTTCTTCTTTTTATTTTTAACGGCTGGCTGGTACAGGGATCCAAACCTTTGAACCTGGGTGTAATTACTCTGTCACTTTTCATTTTACTTGGGAAATTTTCAGTCATTATTTCCTTTAGTGTGCTTTCTAGGTTTCTTCCTTTTTTGTTTCCTTAATATACACAAGTTATGTGGAGGTTAGTTTGCTTGAGGGATTTCCATAATTACTGCATTTCTGTTTCATTTTTTCTTATTGCTCCTCTGATTGGTTAATTTCTTGTGTTCTGTCTTCAAGTTCAGTTCTTTCCTGTGTTTGATCAAGTCTGCTGTTGAAGCTATTGAGTTTTTCAGTTCAGATAATGTATCCTTTATTTCTAGAATTTCTATTTGGTTTTTAAAAATTTATTCTATCCTTTTGTCAAGTTTTTCGTAGTGCTCCTGAATTGTTTTCCAGATATCATTTTTTTCTATCTGTATTTTCATGTGACTCCCTGAACATCCTTAAGAGGGTTATTCTGAATTATCTGTCAGACATTTCATAAATTTGATATTCTTCTGGGTCCATTGCTGGTACTTTGATTCATTTGGTAGTGTCATATTTCTTTATTTCTCAATCTTTGTGTCTTTGTGTTGCTGCCTGGGCATTTGAGGAGACTACTACCTCTTCCAGATTTTATAGGTGTTCTTTGGTGGTGTTAGACCTTTACTGGTTAATATCATAGCTTTGTCTCTGGTCTGTTGGTTTTGTTTGGGGTTTTTTTCCCTGTTCTGCAGTGAATTAACAACTTACCACCACTATTTAAAGTCTGCACTGGAACTAATTTGTCATCCCATGGTTAATTCCTGAACTGGGGGAAACTTCCTGTAGGGACCAGAACTTGAACTCTATGCCTGAGCTAAATAGCCGCTTTTTCTTTTTTTTTTTTCCCTTTTTTCGTGTCCGGCAACGGATTGCAACCCTCAGTGTCGCGCCCGTACCGGACCAGGACCGGCAACGGGATCGCAACCCTCGGCGTTGCTTCTGCACCTCGCTCAGCCAGTGAGCGGGACCCGGTCTGTACGTGGGATCCGAACCCTCGGCGGGAGCGCCACCGCACTCCCAAGCGGCGCACTGTAGCCGTGCGCCACCGGGTCGGCCCCAATAGCCGCTTTTTCTGAGTAGGGAAAGCTCTCTGTGTGGATTGGATTTTGGGGTCACCACAGACACAACTGGTCTGTGTGGAAATTCCCACCCTTGACTGAGTCTTTCCTGCAAACTGCCCTCTACAGTTGTATCACCCTGGCCAGTCTCCAGTGTGTGGTGCCTGTGCCAGTCAGAAGGCAGATTAGCTGCCTGTGCTGTATCCCCGTGCTCCTTGTTGGGCCAGTCTTCCCCAGCACTCCATATGTTTCCCATGGGGTGGGCCATGCACAAGTCCCTCACAAAGACTCATCAAACTATGGGTGGTTCCTATTGGCTGTGGCCCCTCACTCCTGTGCAGGTCCAGGGGAAGCTTGCGAATGGTTTTGCTGTCCTGGGAGATGGGATGGTGCACTCCAAATCACCCTTCTGTGCTGCAGACTCCAAGTAGTTTCATGCAAAGGGCACCACTATGGCTTTGCCATCTGGTAGCTACTCTGTGTGCTGGCAGCTGCTCCTCACCTTGTACCAAGCCGGCCGCAGAAGAGACTGGGGCTTGGAATGGTCAGAATGGTCCCTCCTTCCTCTTGCCACAGCCTTTCACGTGTTCACAAACTCCATTGGTCTCTCCTCTTCCCCTGAGCTCCAGCAATCTCAGGACGGCTGTTTTTGTGTTTTAGTAGTTGTAAGTTGTTCAGTTGTTCGGGGGGAGGGATGCCAGGGATTGTGTGTTCCGCCATCTTGATAACATCACTCCAAGAAATCAAAAATGGATTTTTAACATGTCCTGAGTTTCTGATATTCACTCTCTCTATAGAGTTCGTAGGAAACCAAGCATTGGTGAGTGACACAAAGAGATGGGCTTGACTGGAGGTTTCATGTGCACGTGTATTAATGATGGTGGAAAGAGTATCATGTCAGCTGGCTTCTGAGCCAGGAATGTCCATGCTCTTGGTCAGTGGCTATCATGTTGCAATATTCTGCTCAGCTGTTTAGGGTAGATTTTCGTCTCATTTAATGCAGTATGTAAGTCTAAAGTGCACAGGGGACAAATATTCAGTTAAGGCCACAAAAAGGTTAGTGTTCAGGCCTTTCAGTCCCAGGCCCTGACATGCCCAGCTGCCTGCAGAATCTCTGAGGCAGTTTCTCAAGGAGCCGGGTCCCCCTTTAAATTACTTTTATGAAAATGATTGTACCTGTGCCTCTCTTAGTAACACAGGGGAGGCCAACTGTGGTTATCCAGTAAAGATGCAGCAAAGCCCTGGCCCAGAGTTCCCATGCGTCTGTCTTCCAGTTCTCACTTACCATTCATCAGACCCACCTAGGAAGCCATATATATATATTGCTGGTACCTAGGGGGCCACTCCTGGGAAGATCTTTGCCTCTCCTCCCCAATGTCCACACACGTCACCCTCAGCATCTGCACCTTGATCATGTGTCTGGGGTCTGGTTAGATGTGTGTTCTCTCCCCTCTTCTCCCTTTTCTGCCTGGCTGGTGTGTTTAGAGGGGCCAGCGTGTCAGGGAGGACCTAGCAGTGCTGAGTTGAGGGGCAGCTTGCCCAGAGCCCTGTGGCATAGTGCAGGGCTATTGTATGAAGTGGAAGAATGCCACCACCCCTAGGTGGATGCAGACTATGTCTTTGCAAAGATCAAAGTGCTGCCTCGTCGAGGCAGGCTCAGTCCCCTCTAAGAGTTGGAGGCAGATGGGCAGAGGACACACTGGATTTCAGCCTTGACTCTGCTTGTTTGCTGGATGCCTTTGTACAGAGCAAGCAGTGGAGCCACTCACAGGACCCTGTGCTCTGCCCCACTCCATGCCTGCTCCTTTGCATATTTCCCCCCACACTCCAGACTTGTGGGTTTGAGT